TCGCAATTTCCATTGCCGTTGCCGTTGCCGTTGACAACTCTGCTCTGCCGCCCATAAAAAGGGGGCGTACATTTTATGTCGCCCAATAAAAGCGAACAAATGCGGGTCATTTGAGCTTTGGCATTAAATCCTTGACGCTTTCAGCTGATTTGCTTAATTTGCTGCGCATTGTGTAAACTTTGATTTGTAATGTAATTTTTGGTTTTTAGAGCGCACTTAATGTTAAGCTTAGTTTTTAATGTGAGAGGCCCCATAAAAAATCCATACATAAATTTGTGTTTTTATTGCCGCCCTCGGACGTTGAGTCCTCTGTTTATGTACGAGTAGACAATTCAATTTAAGCGCTAATTGTGATTTATGCTTCATATGCAGCAGTAAGGGCCATGGCAATTATTTGTGATTAATGTGCCCGCAATTTGTTTTGCCTGCTTTATGAAATTATTTTGCACAAAGTTCACTGTCCTACCAAGTAAGCAGATAGAGTCGACGTCGAAATAAAGAAGTAGAAGTAGAAGAAGGAGCTTTCTACACTTGGCGTGCTCAACTCTCAAGCGCCGCTACACTTAAGTGTGCTCTGTATATGAATAGTATGTGTAGTATGTACTATATCTGCACGTGTGTGTGTGTGTGTGTGTGTTAGAATGTGTGTTCATTTTTAAGCACTCACTGGGTGGCAGGGCTTGATGACATTTGTGAACTTTTGCTGCTTTGCCAACAATTAAGTGAGTTTTTTGAACCAAAAGTTGACATGTCAATAGTGGCACTTAGCAAATGAAATATGTGCAAATGGGTAGGCTGAGTCGCAAGGCGAGCAACCCGTGACAACGAAAAGGAGTGAAAGGGGCAGGGAACTCGCTCTTTGGAGCCGACTTCCAAGTTCTGAATGAGTAGAATGGCTGTAAGGCAAACTTTTCGTTTGAGCCGGTCTGAGCTTAGGCTGCACTATGGCCACATATTGTATACTTGTATGTGTGTATATGGTATCGTTATTTCAAAAGGGATTCTGACATGTTCGATTGAAAAAAAACTTTGGACACTTAAATATACATTTAAATATGTCAATGATAGGTGCAATTTTTTAAGCTTCCGACGGATACAGAATAATACGACTAATATACAAAATGTAAATAAATGGAAATGTATAATCAATATCTCAAAATACATCGAACTTAAAAGAGGGGAAGTTTTCAGGGTCGGCTGATTTCTTGCCAGGTTAAATATTAATTATTATTGATTGCTAATTTAAGCATGTTATTGACAAAATATCTAGATGATTGAAAATGGAAAAGTGTGCCTAGATATCCGAAGAGTAAAAAGATTATAATAGGTTTGTGCGAAGTAAACTTATCACACAAAGTTTTTTATGTTCTTCGCTACACTTGTCTCATTTATTGTAATTAAACAAAATTGGGTTAATCTAAATAAATGTTATTATAAAAATGTTTAGACAATGGCAAAAGTTTTTAAATTGTAAAAAAAAAACTGTTGTTGTGTAGAAAATCTTTCTTACTGCGAGGTCAATAATTTTTCAAACAATGTTGGTTGGATATACAAGTATATTGGATAAATCTGCAGCATACTGTATAGATATAATATTATGTATAAGAACTTATATTGTGTGTTCCATATGTTGCACACTATATATTGCATGTATGTATCTGTAACAATTGTAAATAGTGTGCTGTGCTGTCAAACAATGTGACGCCGCTTATTGTTATCATTTTGCGTGGTTCTTCAATGTGTGATTGTGGCTGTTTCTGTAGTGACGGCTGTGACAAATGTGCTGATAAGCACACAAACAAACACGCGCACACACACAATGTTGTCTGGATTCACGTCTAACGACATGTCTGTCTATGAGACCGCAAAACAAGACAAACAAGGGAAGAGAAATATATAAGCTTCCACAAACACACACAACCACTCAGCTGCAGGATAATAACAATGGCAGAGTTGCGCTTTGTCAATGCCAGGGTAATGGCAATGCAGGGAACGAAACGGACGAGTGCCAGCAAAACGAGCTTTATTATTCAATAAAAAGATGCTTACGTTTGTGTTTAGTGTCATTAACAAGTCAGCAACAAACGAGCGGCAACAGCAGCAACCACCAACAAGAACCGCCTCGTGGGTTCAAGTGTAGGTTCGGTTGGCTTCTCATCATAACTGAGTCGTTCACATTACGCCAAGCACATATTTATGCCATAAAGCGCTCAGTCTGCCTGTGCTTTTAATGTTGCCTTGACATTAACTAGCTGCAGCCTAAAAGCATGCTACAAATTTCGCTTCAAAAACAGCAACACAAACACACAAACATACACAAAGCAAAGCGGCCAAAGTCAAAGCCTGCAAAAGAAGTCAAATATGGACTCACTCCCTCCGTCTGTGTTTCTCAATTTTGCACTCTTACTTTCTGTCTGCCTTCAGCTCTCCGTTATGCTGTTTTCTTGCGCCGTCCCTGCTGCTTATTCATGTTCGCTGCCCGCCTTTTGGCTGCTTTTTTTTCCAGTTTGTGCTCGCAATTAACAAAATGATACTTGAGCCAAGTCTCCGACTTTGTGTGCAACTGTGTGTATGTCTGTGCGCCATGTGTGTGTCGCACTTTTTAATTAAAATGTATGCACGTCAGCACGACAACATCCTTTCTTACTCTGTTGAACTTTTTCACAGCCGAAGGCAGCCTTAAATTTGATTTTTCACTTTGTGGTTTAATTAAATTTACAGTTCGAATTAACTGTCGCTTATTGACTCGTTGCGCCGTCTGAAATTGCAGTCAAATTGTATGCGACAGTTAAGTAACAGAAATTGCCAGAAATTGCTTGAGCCCCATGGCGTATGAGTAATATGCTCCGCATTAGTTGCCACCAACTGCATGAGACAGGCAGCGCCGTTTCAGGCACATTGTTGCCAATTTGGCACCCGTCAAACGTGTGCACATAATGAAGCGCAAAGTGTGTGGGTGTGTACGCTTTTATGTCCGTGTGTATGTGTGTGTGTGTGTGTGTGTGAGTGAGGCATTAGTGGCTGTCATGGCTGTTAGCGCATGATTACCAAGCTCCAGACTTTATGCGCTGCGCGCTGCTCGCTGCTCGCTGCAATAATAACCGCGAGGGTGGCTACAATTTTAATTGACGTTGGAGCTTTGCATAGTTTGTATGTGTGTGCACCAAGATATAATATGCTTTTATTTGCACAATTTGCACATTCATATCACGCATACGCCATGTTGCACGCGCGGCGAAACAAAAACTTAATTAAATTACAATTTGAGTTTGTGTGTGTGTGTGTGTGAGCGCACGAAACAGAAAACAATGAATACATGTAATAATTTTTTTCTAAATGCCAGATAATGACAACAATTACAAAGTACGGCACAAAAAACGATAGGGCATAAATATAAATGCACATTTCGCTTAATTAGCGAGGTGAACAAAATCATAGCATACATTTCGACGCATTTACATGAAGGCCAACAAATAAATATAAGTACAACAAAGGCACAATGTTATTTAATAATAATTGCATGCCTAATTTAATCAAAGCCTGACAGATATATGACGTACACGTCTATTTATGTATATCTATAAACAGTAAACACTAGATATATCAATATACATATATACACTTTATTGTTGAGCATAACACTGCTAGTGAGAATGTTTAATTCTCCTTACATCTCTGAATACGAATTTAGTATGCATGTTATTCAGTAATTGTTTTTTATTGTTGCATGTACTATAATATTGTAATTAGGTTTTAATATGCAATCAGGTAATCGCATAGAAACAATTCTTGAAGTTCAAAGCATGTACCTGAAAATAATTTACAATATTTGTTGTTGTTTGTTGAGTTAGCCCCTAGTAATAAACTAGTAGCTGGGTATTTTTACAATCGGTACTTGAACCAAGTGCAATTCGGAGCAACTGAAAGGGAATGTGAGATCATGTTCTGGCCGCGTATTGATTGAAATGCAAGGATTTATATACAGAATTGAGAATGTGCGTTGGTCTAATTATTTCTAATAAAAGTGCCTAAAAATATATCGTCGCTGGGGTGTTGTATGCAGTTAGCTGAGTCGGTGCAGGAATGGCTGCCTGCGCTGGTTTCATATGCACATGCGTGGCCCTTGCGTAGCTCATCATACGGTCAAGTGTGTGCGACATTGACAGTACAATGAAAGTCAGCGATGTGGGGTATAGATGAACACCAACAGTTAACCCATATAGTATCTTTCGAATTATATTAATTCAAGAAATGCATAGGGATTGCTTCACTGAAAATGATTGCTCACTGCCCTTCGAGTAACGTTCGTTAAAAGCGGGTTTCTTTAATATGTATGAACGTCTGAGTTGTCCGAGTTGCGCAAATTACCCGAAAAACCACTCAGCTGTCCAAATGCAGATTAACGCAGCTAAAACTTATGTCACACATCAAAACTCTGCCCGACTGCGGTTTTAGATGTTATAGATAATGGCCAAAGAGGTTGTAATACCGTGTACCCGTATGCTTTGCATATATGTATATATTCTTAATCAGCATGACAACACGAATCGATCTAGACATGTCCGTCCGTCTGAATGAACGCCTGGATTTCGAAAAGGGCTGAGCGCACCTAGTCCAGAAAATAATCTTTGAGACATTCTTTCTGCTAAAATATGGGGAACATTAAGCACCGACCTCCAAATACGACATTTTCTCAATAAAACTTCCACAAATCCTTATAAAATATAAAAATAAATCGTACAATGTTGGTTAAACAAATAATGAATAATAAGAAGAAATAAAGTAAATATGTAAGTAAAAAAAGAAATCATCAAAAATCTTTGCAAAAACATTACCAAAATGTTTTTTTTAATATATGTACTTGTATGTACATTACTTAAAACGAGCGCTTCCTGTACAAACACGCTTAAAATCTATAGCACAACACAATATGCAGTGTTATGTCATGCCCTCAATTTATGTCACGTTTTTTACACTCTTCTCTCTGTTCCATTTTGCAGGCACACCCTATTGGATGGCGCCCGAGGTGGCGGCTGTCGAACGCAAGGGCGGCTACAATCAATTATGTGATATATGGGCCTGTGGCATAACCGCAATTGGTAAGAATGTCACACACTCAGTCGCAGACACAATATTTTCATAACTCCCTTTCGTCTACGTACAGAACTTGCTGAGCTACAGCCGCCCATGTTCGATCTGCATCCAATGCGCGCCCTCTTTCTAATGTCAAAGAGCGGCTTTAAGCCGCCCACACTGAGCAACAAAGACTTGTGGACGCCCACCTTTCACAATTTCATCAAGACAGCGCTCACCAAGAATCCAAAGAAGCGACCAACGGCCGAACGACTGCTCCAGCATCCGTTTCTCCAAGGCGAAATGTCGCTACGTGTGGCCAAGGAGCTACTGCAAAAATATCAGAGTCCCAATCAGCACTTCTATTACCTTGATGGTGATGAGGAGGTAAGTGAACGGTCTGGGTAGCCACCATTTGGCCTTGCCAAGTGCCAAGTGGCGGGGCCAACTAGAAATTGAGGCTAAAGCTGCAGCCGCAGCCTTCACTGCAAAGCCACTTGGCACCTTTCATGTAATTTATTTACGCTTTTAGCGTTGGCTCGCTGCTCTGGCCGGGCTCCGTGACTTGGCTTGCGGGCTCTGGACGGACTGACTAGCAAAGCTATTTACTTGGTTTGTTTAGTTTGGTGCGGTTTCTCCCTCCATCCTCGTCCTCCTCCTTTGTAGCTATTGTTATTGTTTGTGGGTCTGGATGCTCGCAAGATTTAGTGCGCCATTAGACACCTTCGAGCTTTTTATTTTATGTTCCTTTTGCCGCTTCTGCGTTCATTATGCTACAGTTGAACCTGCAATTGCCTTGGCACCTGTCACTGGGGACCACAAATGAAAATGCCAAAGGCATTGCGCGGCTATCGTAAAAGTTGGAGCTGAAGTTTTGATTTGAAATAGTTGAGTGACAGCTTCTTCTGCAGGAATTTGGCAAAGCTATAATAAAAGATGCATGGCTGCTGCAATTTTGTGGATCAATTTGTAGAGAATCCAACTCCAACCATTGCAAATAAGTTCAAAGCACGAACAAAATTCGAATTAAAATGCTTTGCTTTAGTTAAATTCAAATGCCACTTTAGATTTAGAGAGAGAAAAATCCATAAATTTATATTCATACAAAAATACGAGCCAGTCGCAAATCCTTTAAAATTTGTACTCTTAATATATTGGTAGAAGCACAATTTCTTTTTTAAAGAGTCTATTTAGTATTTATGCATTCGAATAGTTTCAAAAGCGAACTCAGAGCAGAATCCTAAGTAGTTGCTAAGCAGCTCCATCCAGTCGTTCTCCAGATGGAATGCCGCCAATTAATTTAGTATATTTATGCGGCTTGTCCACTTATACGGCTGTCTAGACGACAAAAGTTCGAACGGCCTCTGGGCACATACACAAAAAATTGCACTCTTAATTTATTTTGCAGAAAAAGCAAATTTAATGAATTGCCTACCCGCAGGCGCATGGCGGCAAATATTTAAAGAAGAAATTTTCACACGCACGCTTGCCGTTGAAAATTCCTGCAAAAATGCTGTCAACTCATAAATCTTCAATTTGTTTAGCTCTGGCACAAAGTTTTTACTGTCACGCTCCAAGGCGGACCTTGGCATCGGTCCTTGGCGTCGGTCCTTGGTCGAAACAACGCTCGACGTCAAGTTGCGTTACACATTTAAATTTTACTTAGTGGAAAACTTTGAACCACGCATAGGAGATACGAGTAGCTAAAAGCAACGCATGGCGTTGGCAAAAAGCGAATATGATTTTGATTTATGGGATTTTATCAGCTGCGACAAAATTGCAATAAAAAAGTTTTGTGCTAAGCTCTAAGCCTGGCTCCATGCACTGACATTGACGGAATGGCTGGCTGATGTTCTTTTTGGTAGGATTATAGCCTGGCTTGTGATGGCTGTCAATTTATATTGGCTTCGGTCCTAAATGCTGATGCCTCTGCTAACAACTAGAAAGCTGTATGGTATTCGAAAACCTAAGTACTTCCAGATTTTTGCGACTTTTTTTTTAAAGGAAAATAAAGTGAACTGGGGATGGAGGGTAAACCGTTGCTAGTCAGTTTTTCCTTTCCCCCATTATAACGCAGCTCAAAAATTTGGTGTTTTTTTTTTTTCATTTCTCGAAGTTACGGTATTCATGGCGATTAATTAATCTATTTAATTGCTTAGAATTCTTACATATATACAATTTATTGAACTAGTTTTCTACTACCAATATGGCAGCTTAAGCTAGTTGAAAGTTAGGGAATACAAAAGTTGTCTATAGTAAGCATCTATAGGACGCACTTACATCTATGTATATACAATATTTACAATGATTTCCATGAAAAATGAAAATTAATTGCTTAGAAAGTTATATGTTTGTCTTTGTTTATAGCAGACAAACATGTTTAATATAAATAGTTGGTTTACTTGATATTCAGGTTGACAAACAAATGCATTATCTTATCGTTCAATTAAGTATATCCTGCATTTCAAATGCACACACCCACAATTCATTTGTTCAACCTCTTCTCCAAGCAAGCACGGCTCAGTATACACTAATTATTTTATGCCTTAAAGAAATGTGTAGAATTGAAGAAAGCAGGTGAACATTTTTGCCATCATCTTGGTATTTTCAATAACAAGTTTTATATGATGTCGAGGACACAAAAATTAACATGAACCTCATGCGACCTTTGCTCAATTGTTCTGGTATTACTTTCTACTTGCTTAAAGTCTAAAAAATATCCTTTTCCGAAATACCATGTTACTTGTTGCGTATATTATACAAATGTTTTATTTTACTTCCATAAAAAAATAATATTTCCGTCCTGATTCTATTGTTTCTATACCTTTTAATACCCAAATCCAAATGGCCCCTCAGCTTGATTTAACTAACTAAATAATCATTCTGAATACATACTATTTGCATATGTATAAACAGTTAATTATCGAAAATTAAATTTTTAGATGATTTTGTCAAATAAATATTCTGTTCTTGAACATCTACGTATAACAAACTGCTATGAACAGTTGCCTTTAAATGTATATTGCAGCACCGCTGATTTCATTTCAAGAAGAAGAACTTAGTTGTTGTGTCTCTGTTCATAACTCAAACTAAACAGTTATGTCAAGGCAACGAAAAGTGCTGCCAATTACATTCACATAATGCTCAACAGCCCATAGAAGGCTGAGGGTGGATTATTAACAAAGTCAAAGTCAATTTGACTAATAATTGCTCTCACTCTGTTTCTTCTCTTACAGTCGGTGGCCGGTGTTCCACAGCGTATTCCCAGCAAGATGACATCGCGCGCAAATGGCGTGCTGCCGCAGAATCATACGCTTAAGACAGGCAAGTACCAGCTGCTCCTTCCTTCCATAACCTGCCACTTTGTGCCTTCGACTTCCTTGCTCCTTGCCCAATAAAGCACCGCACCACATGCTGGGAAATCATTTGATGTGTCACATGTGTGTGTGTGTTGTCGCGCGGAAATTGGGTTTACTGCTAACACAGGCACAATAGCAACATATTGAGAATGCTGCTAATTGCATTTGCTTTTCGTTTTTTCCCCCTCTCTCCCTCCTTTCACCAACAACCAACCAACCAACTCGTCTCAGGAATGACAACGAATTCGACGTGGTACGAGCGTTCATCTAGTCCCGAGACCTTACCAAGTGACATGTAAGTACCGTGTATTACTCTTTTGTACATTGAAATTGAATTTTAGTCGCTATGTAACTCTGTGTGCGGAGCGACGCTTTTGAAAAAGGTTGTTACTGATGAGGAATAAGAAGCAGAGCTGATGCCTGAAACTATGCTACACTTTTTATGGCTGCTTTATGAAAGACTTGCGTTTGCTATTTGTTGCCAGTTGTTAGTTAATTGCTACAATTTAGTTTGTTAATGGCATTTTGTTACTTAACTCTCTTTCTCACACACACACACATAAACAAACTCTTACATACAATCAAACACAAACACATACACATACATGTATACTTACAACTTGCAACATGTTTAATTCGCCAGCTTTAGTTTCATTTTTGCGTGAGCTGCGCTGCTTTGCTTACTGTGTTTCTTCCTTTCCAGGGTTTTGGTTACATTTTGTATCTGCCTATACTTTTATTACACTTTCTATCTTATTATCTCTGTCTTTCTCTCTCTCTCTCTTTATTTACTTTTAGTCCTACTGTAGCACGCCCAAAACTTAGCGGCACATTGATAATGAACATGTCTTTAAGGTTAGAGCTTCAGAGCTTTTCGTGCTGCAGCCACAGCCTCAGCCTGAGCATCATTTGCTGCAATTTTCTTTTGCTTAATTCAAACAAAATTTGAACTTGCCGCCTTTCCTTGCGACTGTTGCTCGTGCAAGTTCCACATTAATGTCATTTTGGCTGGTCGTGGCCGCGCGGCATGTTGTGCTTTTTGTACAGCTGCAAACTTTTTAGCCACTGCGCTTCCCTGACTGCCTAAAAGTGCGACTATGATGGTGGTCTTTGCTTATATTTTGACACAGTTACATTGCCGCACGTGCCGCTTGTAATTTGCTCGGCTACCAACTATGGTTTCGGCTTTATATTTTATGTAGTTTGTGTTCTTGTTCTTCCCCTTCTACTGCTTTTTTTTTTTGTATTTTCCAAGCACGTTCATCTGTGTGCGAGCTGTGCGCGCTTGTCTGCGTTTACTTTCATATTTTGTTTGTGCAATTTTATTGCAGTTCCTAGTTCATTTTACGTGCCAGGCTTTGCATTTTTCATATGTAATTACTGAAAGTGACGTGCATTTGATAAATGGCCATGTGTCGGTAAATATATAGTATACGAACATATTTTGAGAGTTAGACTCGAATAATGAGGATAATTCGCTTTTGGAGGCGATTTTTAAAATCGACTTTTGCTTAAATGGAAAGAAGACAGCATTACCTTACATTCAATAAATTGAAAATTTATATTCACATCATTCACAAATGCAAAATAAATAAATTGAAGTGACTTCCAAGCTCAATAAGCTTAGTTTTCTTATTTGAAGACCTTTTTCGATCTGAAACCAAATATAAAATAGATTGGAAAACTTTTTGATTGACTAGTGGCAACATTTTTGAACAATTTACTAGTGTACCACGCCGTTCGGTTGCAGCTTCTTTGGCCGTTAATTGAAATTTATCGTTGGTTCTGCATTGCATTCCATTACGCTCAAAAGTATGCTACACATTTAATAAGAGCTGTGTTAATAAGCAAAGACAAGGCAAGTCAAGAAGGACGCAACTTTTGCGAAGCAATAAAAATGAGCAAGCACACACAAACACATACATATACACACACTTATACACACATACATACATACGTATACAATGCGTACTATGTAGTTAGACTTTTACAGGACTTGAAACTAGCAACAAATGTGAATTATTAAAACAAAAGTGAAGCAGCAGCGGCAGCAACGAAATATTGCACGAAAGCAGAAGCAGAGGCAGTAGTAGCGAAAACTTTTCCAAGAAATCAATTAGTGCGCATAACAAAAGAGACGAGTGCGCACGAGCTTGGCTCAAGTGGCCCTGGCAGTTGGCAGTTCCCAACACATACACATACATACATATCTATGTCATGTTGCGCTTTCTATCAGTTTGTGCAACATAAAAGCAACTCTTCCGCACTCCAATTGATAGATAGACGCGAAGACAGGCAGACAGCCAGATGCTCTCAAAGAGCGTCATGTATTTGAAGTCAGTTCAAGTGTTTACACTTTCGTGTCTGGTCTAAGTTCGCTCACAAAGCAACCTTTAATAAGCAGCAGCACAGCCGCCATTTCAAGTTATGTGTGCGCCTGCAATGGGCAAACACTCGAACGGCGCCTCCGCCAACACCACCCATACTTGGAAGGGCAGACAACCATGGACATAATGCCAATGCAGACAAGCAGCTTTAGCTTGTCTATGCATATGAGTGGGCGCCACATTCAGTCGTGAGTGTGTATTTGTCTGTGAGCCGCCATTTTGTTTGGTTTTTTCTTTTTATTGATGCCATAAAAACGACAGCGGCAATTTTTATGTACTGTATACACACACCCATAATATGAGTCCTAGACATTGCCATTGCTGATTGTTGAGCAGTAGCCAAGTAGCCCCGCCCACAACGCCTAGACACGCCGAAAAACGGCGCCCGAAAAGTTTCCAATTGGTACTCACACACAGACCTTTTGCCTTACGCCTTTTTGACACGCTTTTTGTTTTTCTTATGTCTGCCTCGCGGCTGCTGTTGTTGCCACTGCCACGGCCGCTGCCACTGCCCCTACCGCTACCGCCAACATCATCGTCATGCTTAATTTCATTTAAAACGTCATAAAAATAAACAAGACCGTCAGTTTTTTGGCCGAAAAGGCAACAAACATTATTAATTGCCTTAAAGAATAAAAAGAGATGCCTAATTCTCCTATATTTTCAACAGCCGCTCTTGAACCTTTTTCCATTTTCTTTACAAAAACGAAAAACAACAACAAAATGTGCTCAAGCAAAAATAAAAGAAATGAAAAATGGCAAATTATGCGCTGAAAATTAGTTTATGCGTTTAATTAGGCGTGCCTGGGAATGCGTTTAATGTTCCGCTCCGTTCTCTAAGCTTCCACTTTCCCCACCATTTCCTTCTGAGACAAAAAAATGGCTGCATGCATAAAATATTCGATTTCGGACTTGCTCCCTCTTCTGGCGCTACAAATATTCTCTATTATTAAATCTAGAATTGAGTTTGTTTAATTCCTGCACTTTTTAACCGTAATTTATATAGTTTTTACAGCTTACACACACACACATACACAACTGTTGAAAGTTTGAATATTTTATTCAATATATACTTATGTATTTATAAGAAGTAAACTATGATGATGGGGCATTAATTTTCATTTATCAGGAATACTATTCTACTAAAATGCATTTTTGTTGGATAAACTTATATTGAATTTTGTATTTTACTTTTTCTAAACTAAATCTTAACAATGACGATTGAATTTTTGTTGATTTTCTGTTTCTCTTTTTTTCGTATTTTTTTCTTGTGTTTAATTTTTGTAGGAGCCTCTTACAGTATATTGATGAGGAGCTAAAGCTAAGGTAACTACACCAAAAGAAAATCATTTTTGTGTGTTTTATGCTCAACAATAGTTTGTTGTTATTCACACGAGAACAATGCAAACAAAAAAAAAAAAAAAAAACTCTACGTAAGACTTAGCTCGAAAAAACCGCAACGTAACCATAGAGCTCCCACCAACCCACAACTCAAAACCTTAACTTACTTTTGCAACCACACACGCACACACCCACACATATACACAGGAGCGGCCATTCACCAACAATCTACATACACACGCACACATACTTGTAAACCACACACTCACGAACATCCACCAACACCCACTCTCTACCTAGTTGACTTTGATTTAACGTTAAGTTTATTTCATGAGCCTCAGCAGGCAATTTTCACTTAAATAATATCAAGTAAGTGGAAATGCTAGCTTCGGCTAACCGAAGCTTAAATACTCTTGCCAGCATATCTCTGAGTCTCTATTTATTTATGTGTAATACAGATTTGCTTTATTATTGATTAGTCAATGAATGACATTTAGTTAATCAGACTGTTTTAGAAACAAAGCAAGGATATCGAAATTATTTCAATTTCAATGTTGGAACTATGTACATGGATCGGGTAATCGAATTTTGAAACTAATCCCAAAAACTTGGCACCGAAAAACGTTCGAATCAATCATTTGTCGCTGCATTTCAAACTAAGCAAGATAATTGTCGAATACTTGCTTTGTCTTCAACAGGATATATGCTATTTGTTAACAAGAAATGCATGTGTTATTATGGATATATCTCTATCGGAATTTATAACTAACTACAAGGTGTATCCCAAAGCGAAATTGACTTTATAAAAAATAGTTAAAGCTTAAATAATTTTTTGGAAAAATAATAGTCGTGCGAGGTTTTCTTTTAAAATAAAATCAAACAGAAGTGCCGATCTATCACAAGTGCCGACAACTAACTATAACTTCCTTGTTAACGATATTTAAAACACCAACCCAAATAACAAAGTTTGGCCAAATTCCAATAATAATCCCCTTCAAATCGTAGTCACAATTCAGCATTGTGTTCATTTTTTAATTTTCCTACCATTTTTTTCTGGTTTTGTGTTTTGGGTCATCTTTGTGCTTCGATTTCGCACTTTAACGCTTGTTTTCAGGATCTTATTGATAACAGCACGATTGATCACAAAATGTACTAGAAGTTTTGTAAATTGTTTACCTCCTTAATGATGTTTGTCGAATTCTGAATTTTAAACAGTTTTTGGTCCTTGTTGTACCGGTAACATATTGCTTTATATGCTCGGTTTCTATTCACCCGATTGTTAGCTTTTGAAACAGAATGTGGTTCTGCGCATATTCAGATGCACCTTGTAGATGTCTCGATTAATAATAAAACACAAATAATAATAATGAAACATACTTCTATAATCAAATTTGATCGAAAACATCAAAAAATATGGCTGCAAAAAATTTGCTTGAAACTGTTAAACTGGTTTCGCTCATCATATCTACATATAAACCCGCATATAACTTTGTTGATTAAAAGCAATATGCTATCGAAATGTCATTCAAATAATTTTTTTTTTTTTTTTGAACTCCTTAACATAATA